CACGTTCCAATATGCACCCGACCGACCGACCCAGCCGCATGGGACTGAGGCACGCTGACACGCTGTGAGGCCAATATTCATGTATGCGCAGTTCTTTGCTTGACAATGTGTATTGTGAATTCGCGGCAATCGATGCAGGTATGAGCTTAGACATAACAAAACATGCGATGTTGATATTTACTCCAAGTTTCTATACAGAACCGTTGAACGTACGAGCGCAAACGTAAATGTATTTCTATAGTCCGTTTCTACTTGCGTTGTCCATCAGCTGTTTTAACACTGTATCTCATTGACCCTGATAACTGATTTCTGTGGTCAATAGCCTAAAACTATACACAAAGCTCACGTACTACAGACTGTAGTTTGTTATATAAATAAACCTATACCGACAATAATGTAGCGTATAGCGCCAAGAGAACGGAATCGTATGCACGAGTATTGCTGTCGATTGAAGTGCAGTGAACGGGACTTATTTGTCATGTTACTGCTGCTTCTTTCAGTGTCTTTTACTTTAAAAAATGTTTGAAGAGTTCGTAAAATACTCATGTCACCCCCACTAAATGACATTTCCAGAACATGTGAAATAAGAGTTTGATGTATGTAGGATTTGTGATTTTTGACTGCATTTCAATATCGAATTGCACATGTAAATACTAAAGATTGCCTAGTCTGCCAGTTATAGAATGATCTGGTTAGGAGCAAGATGTTGAAAGATGTTGTTATACATACATTATGCATCATTTCTCTCCCCGTCGTCTTATTTCCTATGACGCTACAATTGGTCGTGGCAGCAGACATCCCCACTGAATATACATATACCAAATCTGGTCGAAATCGGACGAGTAGTTTCGGAGTTACGGGTATTTAGAGTTCAGCTACCGGTATTTAGAGTTGTGCTATTTGGCAAGTTTATGGACCTGGGCCAAAGAGTGCCATTTTCAAAAGGCTGTAGCTCCGTTGTCCATTGAGCTACAGATAAACGGTTTGGTGTTCTGGAATCGTCAGGACAAGGGCTATCAGGTCAACATATCACATACATATATTTTCTTTGAAGTTGTTAGTATGGTACTTGGAGCCAAAGTGTGGAGAGTTTGGAAGCTTTTGAGCTGGTAGTTTGAGCTGAGGAGATTTTGGGAGTCAAGTACTGAGATATCTGGTAAAAAACAGTGCCAAAACACTTAATCCAATATGGAGGCCAAACGAAGCAATTTCGCTACATTGGATGTGTAGAGATTTTGTTTGGCATCTGATTCCGGATCTGTTCAGGAATTTTGGATGTCTTTGGAGCTTTCGTGGCGGAGTTATGAGCTGTTGAAATTGCGATTTTTAAAGTTGTTTTGAGTTGTCTGCCCTTAGTCTTTGAGTCTAGAGTCTTGGGATTTTTGTGGTATCTGCTTCAGGATCTAAGGTATCTTTGTGGAAATTTTGAAGACATTCTGAGCAGTAGTTTTGGAGGTAGGATTGGAACAAAAAACGCCGGAATAATAATAATAATAATAATAATAAAGAATAATAATAATAATAAATCGAACAATTACAATAGGGCTCTTGCCTTGTAGGCAGGGAGCCCTAATAAGAAATCGTTATTTTTGCGATTTTGGCACTTTTGACCCCGGGATCGGGTAGCTGGACTAAAACCATTTAAAAAAATTCAAGGTCACCAAGGTCACGGGGTCAAGGTCATTTAGGTGGTCCGTAAAACGAAAATGTACTTTTTTTGGCGAGCTCTCACGCGACTGTTATTGCATGTATGGTGGAAGTGATTAGTAATTATGCATTATCCCGACCAGTTCTAGCATATGTATAGGTAAATTTTGATGATATGCATGTCCGCCGTCCGTCCGCGCGTCTGTCCACCAAAACTCTGTTTTGTCATTTTCTCACGAACTATCTAACTTACAAAGCTGAAACTTTGCAAACATCTTCCCATGGTCTGTATCTAATAGTGCTGTGAATATCACTGCATTCCGTTGTCAAGTTTGGTTTCCATGGCAACCTGACGAAGAAAATCTTAAATCCAAGATGGCGGCCAAACGGCTGGAAATATCGATTTTGACGGCTGGATCGAAAATGATCGGTATCTTATGACGGTGTCACATGCAAAATAGGGTAGCTATTGGAGCAATTTTGGCGGAGATATATGCTGTTTTGTGCCGTTTTTATCACTTTTGGCATTTTCACGGCCTTTAATCCAATATGGACGCCAAATGACGCAACTTTTGACAAACAGCTAAGAACATGAAATGTTCAGCGTCTCATGCTTGTGCATTGTGGTTATTTGTAGCACTTTCTATCAAGAACTTTAGCAGCTAGGTAGTTTGCAAAGTAAAAATATGAGAGGCTAGCAAAATCCAATATGGCCGCCACATCACGTGACTTTTGACATAAGAGCAAGAAGAGATCTTGTTCAGCAACCAAAGCAAGACTCAACAGAAGTTGTTCAAATGCCTTACCTCATAAGTTTCCAATGTCAGAGCTTGCTAAAGATGTCCTCTCAAAGGTTTGAAAATAACTTTGAGCCGGAAGTCGGAGTCAATATGGCGGCCATTGTAGACATATCTGAGGATTTTTTCTTTGAAGTTGTTAGTATGGTACTTGGAGCCAAAGTGTGGAGAGTTTGGAAGCTTTTGAGCTGGTAGTTTGAGCTGAGGAGATTTTGGGAGTCAAGTACTGAGATATCTGGTAAAAAACAGTGCCAAAACACTTAATCCAATATGGAGGCCAAACGAAGCAATTTCGCTACATTGGATGTGTAGAGATTTTGTTTGGCATCTGATTCCGGATCTGTTCAGGAATTTTGGATGTCTTTGGAGCTTTCGTGGCGGAGTTATGAGCTGTTGAAATTGCGATTTTTAAAGTTGTTTTGAGTTGTCTGCCCTTAGTCTTTGAGTCTAGAGTCTTGGGATTTTTGTGGTATCTGCTTCAGGATCTAAGGTATCTTTGTGGAAATTTTGAAGACATTCTGAGCAGTAGTTTTGGAGGTAGGATTGGAACAAAAAACGCCGGAATAATAATAATAATAATAATAATAAAGAATAATAATAATAATAAATCGAACAATTACAATAGGGCTCTTGCCTTGTAGGCAGGGAGCCCTAATAATAATAATAAATCGAACAATTACAATAGGGCTCTTGCCTTGTAGGCAGGAGCCCTAATAAATCGAACGATTACAATAGGTCTCTTGCCTTTCAGGCATAGAGCCCTAATAATAATAATGATATGGCATCAAGGTAAGGGAGACGCCCCGCATCTCCACAGCAGCCCAGGATTGCAACATCTGGGTCCTTCACTTTCGGAAGAAGACCCTGACTGCAACGTACACTGCGACACCAAGTCCTGCTTTACTTACCATATCTGCACGTCTCCGTAACCGTTGATGAGCTGGAATTTGAGCAAGAAGACCCCATATTGGTGTTAGTTTATCTCAATGTAATCGACTTCAGTGGCTACAGTGATGTCGGTTCCATTATCTGTGGCTTCCTGGACATTGCCGTAGTGTTTGGTTCAGTGATGAATCCCATTTCCTCCTTCAAGGGTGTGATTGGCAGATCCATGTGTTGTAGAGACGGAATAGGTGTTATAGTATATGTTGCATACAAGAAGTCAACAGATTCGTCGGAGGAAGTCTCATGATGTGATGTCTCTTATTAGCGAAGATTAGATTTTGTTTATGTCCAGGGTACTTGACATTTGTGCATTATCGGGACAAGATCTTGTATGCAGACAATGCCTGCAAGCACCAGGTGCTATTTTTCAGCATGTAAGTGCTTGTCCCCACATAACTGGCGTGCTTGAACTAGTTTCGGCACATGCTGTTACTTCTCCATTAATGTTTGATGAACTCTGTTTCACTTTGTATTAAATCTTCCAAACACACAGATGTCCCACGTATCACTTGGGGGAGTTTATATTTAGTTTTCAGGGTGCCTATCTTTGCATCTTCCCAAGGCAAGGGCGTTAACTGACTATAAAAGTCCAGTTTCCGACATGGCGAAATGGCTGGAGTTCCAGAGTTACATTCTGGCTGGACTATGCACAGTCCAATAAAAATCGCGTAACGAACTAGACAACCAGTTTGTAAACAACATGGATTTCAACGTGCAGATTTCGGTCGACTGCAGGATTTTGCAAAGCCGTCAGAGACCATCTATCTATCATATGGTCAAATGGGCGTCGACAGGTATTTTGCAAATGTTTTCAGGTTTTTGATCGTAGTGCTCAATTGATTTGATTTACATTGCTGGGTAAGACTCGTTTTATAACAACATAGATCTTGATTAGTGATCACATCGCCTTGACTGGGCGTGGCCATTTTGTTTGATTGGTCAGTAGGGGGGACATAGAAGTGACATAAGTCCTAATAGCCACTGGTGGCACTAAGATGGAAGCAGGACTTTTATAGTCTGTTAACGCCCTTGCCTCGGGAAGATGCTATCTTTGTCACGTTACTATTTTTACACATGATCTGCAATCTCTCAAAATCCTAGATCTGCCCTTGTCGTGTTTAACAACAAACACACAATTTGACATTCTTTCGTTCTCTAATGGCAGTATGTGTTTCCAGCAATATTCAGGCGCATGCAATCATGGTAGGGGACTTCAAGAGGCTTCACTATTACACTCCATATTGTAAACTTTTCGGTAATATTTCAGAATACCAGGGCGCTCTCAAAATTAGAAATAGGGGGCTCTTATTAGAATATTATTGTGTCAAAAAAAACAGAGTTGAAAGATAAATTCCGTGGTTTATGCTGACAGCCTGAAATGTTTATATACGAGAGATATATTTTTCCAGAATTTATTTGCCCATAATTTAGGGTTACAAATAACACACGAGTGCGTATTATACGCGCATAAATAAGTGTTGTGTACATTGATCAATCGGAAGGGGTGCTAATTGGGATACATGAGCCATTATATTAGCAAATATCGCTGTGGGCGCTTATTAGAGCGGGGCGCTTATTACGTCGAATACGGTAATTGATATTCTACTTCAGCTCAACATCCTATCATGTACATTCGTGGGCTCGTACCTGTGCGTGTTGTGTGTGGACGTGTTCCTCTGGAGCAGCCTCAAGTACATCATCCTCAACTCCGTGAACCACCAGACTCTCCCCGAATACCTCAACATCACCAACATCTTCCCCTTCGAAACCAATGGTAGGGGATCAGATGGTCATATTCAAGTGTTGTCAGGCTTTACAGCGTTTTCTTCAGACCCGTGAAGATTCCGGGGTAGAATAGGTCTTCAGCAGCCAGTGCTTGCCATAAAAGGTGACTATGCTTGTCGTAAAAGGCGACTAACGGGATCGGGTGGTCAGGCTCGCTGACTTTGTTGATGAATGTCATCGATCCCAATTGCGTGGATCCATGCTCATGATATTAATCACTGGATTGTCTGGTCCAGACTCGATTATTTACAGACCGCCTTCATATAGCTGGAATATTGCTGAGTGGGGCGTTAAACAACAAACCAAGCAAGCTTTTTCTTCAATAAATGAACCGGCCATAGTTACCTCCCTTTGATTATGACCCAATTTGTTCTGGATATGTGTACAAAGATCCTGAATCACTGTTGACAAGATTGGATCAAAGCATACCAGTTTCCCCAATTCCTTGATGTTCAAGTCGTCGTAAGAGTGAGTGAGTGAGTTGGGTTTTGAGACTGCTTTGAGCAATGCCCTCGTGGTAGGAAGAACATGATGAAGCCTGTTGTACAGCGGCCATCATTTATTTTTATGGAGTATTTAAATTTGAACCCTTCCTACTTTGGAAATTAGGGCAAAGCACATGTTCTCAACAGTTTCACTTTTACGTCAGGTGATAAATATCTTTTTTGGTATCGGAATTATGTTTTGTGCTTTCAACATTGGTGGTCGAAAAGATTTCATATGTATCATCTTGTCTCCATTCACGTGGCACATGAATGTTGCTATTTTCCCGTCTGAATGACTGGACAACCAGATATGTCATATCAAAGGGCTATAACTCTTATCTGTCTACTTCTCTTCAAACTTTGATGTAAACACTGTGCTGTGTATTTCATATTTTAGCAATGAAACTTATTTGATTGAAATTTCATGTTAACTTATATTTTATTTTCTATTTTTATGCCATTACATCAGAAAAGTCATTTAGTTATAATTTAATTTTCCTATTTTTCATGTCAGCAAATCCGCAAATCAACACAAAAAATTAATCGTCTTATTGTTTGTTAAAGTGTGCAATCTTGGTGACAAAATGTGCATTTTTTTGTCCTTAAGGCAAAAGCAAAATTGTTTTATTCTAACCGTTGACCTTGATGTTTTGTGTTTTATCATCTGAACCAAACGGTTAATTTTTAGGCCCACGCATTCGTAATGGTAGTCTTGGCATCTTCAAAATATCCCTCTAAGTCTTCATCAGATGTCTTCCATGTTTCCAGAGGTGATTCTGACTGTGCTGTGGGCGGGGCTCTTCATCGTGGGAACAGTCTTCCAGTTCTATCGAGAAAGGAAAAAGCCCCCTTTCCCACCTTGCCCAGCTCATGTGAAAAAAGCAAGACGACTGGAACGACCTCTGTCACATCAACCTGAGGATGAGCAACGACCCCTGTTGAAGGAAAGGTCATGGCCAGATTATAGTCAAGGTCAAGGTCAAGTCAACAACCAGCCCACTTGAGATTATTGTTATGTTTTATGTTTCGTGTACTGATTTCAGTATATTCAGCTTTTGTTTTTGCTGTCATATGTAGAGAAACATTGGATATCCATCTGACAGTGGTAATAACTGTTATGATAGCGTCAAGGCCACATTCTACTCCATGTCATTATTGAAGGGTCACACAGACAGTGTAGGACATAAAATGAATTGCCAGACTGCCATCAGGACCCACAGGCTTTAGAAGCTGCAGGCCCTGTCTAAACTCTTTAGGCCCTCATTTAAAAAACTGCAGCTTATTGCGACCACTAAATCAACACGTAAATTTAATACAGGCCCTGATGGCCTGTACAAATTGGAAACTACAGGCCCAACACAAGATCAGCTTCCCCGGGCCTACACGCAGGTGCTTGTTTCGAACACTACAAGCAGATAAAGGGTTAAAGTATCAGAGAACGTAGCATTTTCATCTTCCAAGAGTGCAGTTCATTTGCATCTGGGAGGAACCATTTTAGACCCACATCGACTGTTACTTGTCATGTATTGCACTGCATGGGCTAAACCACTGGTTGCGTTCAGGCGTTTGTTTTGGGTAGCTTTTTCCATCGTCTTCAATCTTGCACTTTCCCTTGTTTTTAATAGTCATCCATTTTTCAAGTTTCACAAAAGCATCCAATTACTGTGACATAGACATTAACAACATTTATGTCGTATGTCAGCATACTCAGACCTATTGATGCTTGTTGGCATGTGTTCATTTTTGACACCCTTCATACCTAGGTGTCCCTTATATAATGATGCGGGGCGGTCGGGTAGCCTAGCGGTAAAAGCGTTCGCTCGTCACGCCGAAGACCCGGGTTCGATTCCCGACATGGGTACAATGTGTGAAGCCCATTTCTGGTGTCCCCCGCCGTGATATTGCTGGAATATTGCTAAAAGCGGCGTAAAACCAAACTCACTCACTCACTCACTATATAATGATGCTGAGTATGTATATTGTACAGCTTTACCAGGTGATGGTGTCGGACATGAGATTCAGATACCAGTAGATACATTTCTTGCTAGCTAGGTTAATATGTGATGCACAGCTCAACGCAATGCAATGCAATGCAATGCACCATATGAATGGTAACTTGACAATAGGCCCAACCTTGTTGAATTACACTGAGCAAAAATCACATCCAAGCTCTATAGAGAGGATACGACAAATCGGAATTCATAAATATTATCTCGGTTCTCATTGAGGAGGAACTACTTGCAGAGATTCGTGAAAGTCCAGCGATTGCTTTCATAGTTGATGAAAGCACAGACCTATCTAGTGAAAAACATTTAATACTATATATCTGATATTTGAAAGATGGCGTCTTGTCTCTATCAAATTTGTGAAATTGTTACGTGTACATGCTGCTGATGCTCAGTATTCTCAGTATTTAGAGAATACAACACTCAGTCTTGTCAGATTCCATTGTTACGAAACTAGTGGATTTTCTATGGTATCTGACCTAGCGAAAGCAAAGACACCATTTTGTGCATAAGAGAACCTACATTTTTTAAATCACAAATCACAAAGATTTTAAAATTAATTGGGAAGCTGACCATTCAACTCTGAAACATGCATGAATGTTTGCAAAGGTATAGCATTCAAACAATGCTTACTGAAATATGACAGTAATTGGTAATTTTACAGCCTTTAATGTGATGGCATTGAAAAGTCTGTACACCACTTTGGAATGCGAAAACACCATCAAGTGGGATGTGAAGCTGTATGTATCCATGGCAACAGAATTGCCAAGTGAATTGGTTAGTAGAACACATAGATGATACGTCAAGTGAAGGTTTTAATTTTTTTTTTAACAATGTTGCACATACAATGAATATATTCATAGAAACCACATTTTTTTAGTTGAAAAAAATATTTTGCTTGAAAAATATTTTTATATACATTGAGAGTTCATCAGGGGTTTCTTGCATTGAGTCCTATATTTTTAACTATGTTTTTTGTGACACAGCGCTTTTGTGTTACAGTTGATATAAAAACAGCTTAATTACAGAATGTTTGCATGATCTGTATCTGTTGGCTGGTAGTAGTTGTAGATGTTCTGCCCATTGGCGCCCTACCGTTTGTTAAAACCATCTAGAGTTATCTCCCTTACAGATGTAAATGATTAATGGCAAACACCGGTACACTAATCCACCAGCAACAAGGACGGAAATTCCGCAGAGCCCCCTGGGCCGGTGTTTGCCATTTGTCAACAAGGCTTTATTGATTCTAAAAAATAATGCCAGTATTTCTTTCATGGGATTGGTCAGTTTTTTACCAAGTATCTGCTGTATTTCTGTTTCCGTAACTGTGTTAATGCCGCATCACCGTCATGATCTTGTACTTAAATACTGATGGCATTATGTTTTTGATATGATGGGCCCTGTGAAGATTCGGGTTAGAATTGGTCTTCAGCAACCCATGCTTGTCTTATCTTGGTGAAGATCCGGGTGAGACTTGATCTTCAGCAACCCATGCTTGTCTTATCTTGGTGAAGATCCGGGTGAGACTTGATCTTCAGCAACCCATGCTTATCTTATCCTGGAGATGATCCAGGTGAGACTTGATCTTCAGCAACCCATGCTTGTCTTATCTTGGTGAAGATCCGGGTGAGACTTGATCTTCAGCAACCCATGCTTGTCTTATCTTGGTGAAGATCCGGGTGAGACTTGATCTTCAGCAACCCATGCTTGTTGTGAGAGGCGACTAACGGAATCGGGTTGTCAGGCTCACTGACTTGGTTGATGCATGTCATCGTATCCCAGTTGCACAGTGAGGCACTGGATTGTCTGGTCCAAAATAGATTATTCACAGACCGCCTTCATATCGCTGGAATATTGCTAAATGTGGCGTTTAACAACAAATCAATCATGATATGAATGAGCTAATGCTTATGAGCAATGAGTCATCATAATATGTTGACATGCTACTTTGTTTTTTAAATGCCGCTCTCTGCAATATTCCAGCCATATGAAGGGGGCCTTAAAAAATAGATACCGTGTTCGACGTAATAAGCGCCCTGGGCGCTCTCAAAATTAGAAATATGGGGCTCTTATTAGAATATTATTTTGGTGGAAAAAAAAATTGAAAGATAAATTTCGTGGTTTATGCTGACAGCCTGAAATGTTTATTTACGACGGATACATTTTTCCAGAATTTAATTCCCCATAATTAACGGTGCATATAACTATGATAACACGCTAGTGCGTATTATACACGAATAGATAAGTCTTGTGTACATTGATCAATCGGAATGGGTGCTAATTGGGATTGTTCACTAGCCAATATATTAGCAAATATCGCCGTGGGCGCTTATTAGAGCGGGGCGCTTATTACGTCGAATACGGTAATTGATATTATGAACGACCACACCATTGGGGCATGTGACATGCTATCAAGTCACCGAGTCTGACCACCTGTTCCATTGGGTTGCCTCGTACAAGAACCTAGTAGGCAACAAATGTATGGAAAATTATTTTTGCCAAATCTTTCTAAGAAAGTTTCACAATGATTGACTTATTTACACCACATCTAACAAGTGCCTGACCTTTTAGTTTTGTTTGTTTTTTGTTTAACTATTAACTTTGCATTCAACAATATTCCACCTGTATCATCACTGCAGACATCCTATATATCTCCATGGCTAGCATTTCGGTAAACGTGCACTAACCCCTGGATGCATTGCCGTGGTTCTTGCAATCACAAAATACCTGTCCTTGATTTCCATTTGCCAATTTGATTGGCTACGCTACTAGGTCTAACGTACCAATCAGAATATGAGTTACAAACCAGGCGCAATGTTGGGTTGGCCAGTCTCGTTGATTATGATTGAGTTATGAAATTCAACATTGAAAAACTGACTGTCACGCAAAGAAAGCCCGCAAAAATGTTTGGATGGAAAGGATGTCTTAAAGTCCATTAAAACTAGTGGTTGCTTTGGTTTCTCAATAATAAAGGTTATCTCCCTTACCCTTTCCCTTAGGTTGACATTTGATTGGTCGGCAAAATGGTAATGAAAATTAGGAGGGGGTGGGTGGGTAGGGTGGGTATTTGTGACCCATTTCCGAAAAACTGCCCCTGGAGATAATGAGGATGCACTGCAGGACGATGGCTTGTAAATAATCATGTCTGTTAGTCTGGATCAGACAAGCCAGTGATTGATATTATTCGCACTTATATAATACTATAGTCAGACACTTGAGTTCATGCCTTACAAATCAGCTGACTCAGATTTTCACAAAAGTGAAACAAGTGTTGCAATGTTCACCAAGTCTGTTAAATAATTTCGTTAATGAAAAAAAGTTTTTGATAGATCCAGGAGTAGATTTGAAGTAATGCTCTTTATTTCATCTGACTGATAATTATTTTTTTAAATTATTTGAAAAACATTCTTTTGAAATGTTATGTTTATTCTTATTTCGAGCACAGATGTCCCTGTTGTGTTGGAAGAAATCTTTGGAACAGATGATTGAAAAAAGATAGGACAGTCCTACTGTATATCTGTCAGATTTTCTGTACACTTATAAACATTCCTGAAATCCTGATAAGGTTTATCCGGTGCTGGAGATGAAGTGAGAATAGTAAGACACTGAAAACAAGCTAAAGACAACCCACAATTTGAAGGATGTGTCAGAGACCACATAACATGGTATCTGGCTGTGTGTTTCAATACTCACCAGCCATTAGATATGAAACTATAGTGTGTTGTTTGACTTCTTTTGAGTATTATATTTGTACTTAATATGCTGACTCATTCAGTTTTGTTTTCTGTACATAGATAATTTATTTTATGAATGCATGACTTTATAAAAAAACAAAAAAACAAATCAAATTTCAAATATACTTGCATATTTTCTTCAACATTGTCATATTGCCGGAATAGGCGGATCCAGCCAGAGGTTTGGGAGGGAGGGGGGAGTCAAGGTGGACCAGGTCCTCCTTTTGAAAAGTAGTTAAATTATCTGAGAGGAGACTTTGATATTTTGGTCACTTCCCTTTAATAATGCTGGATCCGCCCTTGATTTTACAAGTGAATGCATGGCTTTGGCAAGATAAATGTAAATAAAAGATTATGTTTTATGTCGTCAACGTATATCCTCATCTTGTTTGTTTGTTTAAGATCTCAATGTCAGCTGCATGTCTGGACTAGACGTCAAATTCCAGTGATTGATATGAGCAACGATCTATGTGATTACACCCAATCAACCAGGTCACCATCCTTGAGTGAGTGAGTGAGTGAGTGAGTTGGGTTTAACGCCGCTTTTAACAGTATTACAGTTATATTACGGCGTGTCCGCTTAATGTGGGAGGAAAGCCTGAAGTGCGAAGATGCGAGTCTCAGACTTTTACCACTTCGGTGAAACCCACGAGCACGGGTATGGTGCTGACAAACCTAGAAACATAATCGGGGCGAACCGGGATTTTAACCCACAATCATAGGTTTCTGGCGTGCCCAAGGGACGCAACTCTGCACAGCGAATAGCGGCTCCTTAGACGACTGGGCCACCGTGCCCCCTCGCCATCCTTGACCGATTATTTAGGTTGCCTCATGGTACAAGCAGATCTACTGGGGTCTTATTGTAACCCAGAATCCCCAGGGGTACATGCAATGACTGAATGTTAAAATATTCAGGCCAAATAAGGATCCATAATTTGGAAAAGGGGGTGCACATATTACGCAAGTAACAAGTGACTTGGCTGACCATATAGGTAACATGTAAGATGTCTGCAAAAAGGAGGAGTGCCAACAGACATTAGGCAATCCAGTGATCGATATTGTGAACAACGATCAAGGCTTTTAGGGTAAGTTAATGGTGTAAATATTGAGTCTGGCAAACTAGAGGTGACAGCAAAAGCTGTGATCCAGTCCATCTGAATACAATGACCAACAATCACAAGGCATTGTGAGGTGTGGTGAAATTGGGTTTAATGCCACGTGCCAAGATTATTGCACTTATATAGCGACGTGCATGCACGTATGTGTGAGTGTGTGTGTGTGTGTGTGTGTGTGTGGCTGCTTGTAATATTCCGGACTGATGCCGATTTATAGTGTTATCACACTGAGATACCATGCCGCAGTTTAACATGAATACCCCACTCAGACACAGTATACTGACTCCGAGCCGACCAGTCCTTGTTTTAGCCCCTTAATGCCGAGCGCAAGACAGGGAATCAACAAGTACCATCTTTTAACGTCTTTTGGTATGACGCGGCCGGGGATTGAACCCCGGACCTTCCGCTCTCTGGGCGGAGGCTCTACCACAAGACCACGGAGGCGGTCTGTCAAGGCATTGTAGCCAGGATTCAAATTCATGCTTGTCTGCTAGCCTGAGACTATTACATTGTGCTGAGGACCAGTAAAAATCCAATGATGGTAGTCCTCAAAGACAAGTAGCATTTGAGGGCTAGAATTCTGAACCAGTTTTCAATTCTTCAATTGTGCTGCAAATTGGAACTGAATAAAACTGACAATAATGTAAAAATGTAAACATTTCTGTCTCGTTCAAGCTCTATGGACTAGTGAAATAAAAGGTTTGGACTCGTCTAAAAAGCCTGAATTTCAAAGGCATTGATGCCATCGGATCCTCACTTGTTTGTATCCTACAACTTACATCCTGTTAGTCGCCTCATACAACAAGCATAGTCGCCTTTTACAGGCAAGTATGGGTTGCTGAAGACCTGTTCTAACCCGGGTCTTCATAGGTCCCCATGAGCACCAGGCAGGGTAACAAGTATACCTTTTAACATCTTTCGCTATGATGCACCTGGGGATCAAGATCTGAGGTGTCATGTCAGATGAAGTTTCAATATGAGCGAGTGAAACCACTATCTCAAAAACTGGAAAAATCACGGCTGCAATATATTGTGGATATTTTACACCCTATTGTTTCTAAGCAACATCTGTAACAAGGGCTTCTTATCCCAGTTTAAAAACAAACAAACAATCAGATGAGTTTGTTACTTTATTCGATAGAACATACATTTGACACTGAAGCATACTCTTTTCTCTTATTTACATGTTTGACAACACCTATAGTAAGCAGCCAATGCTGAGATTCATGTAGATACAGTGTATATACAAGTCAAAACAAGACAGCAAGTCATACATTTTATCAGGAAATAATAACCCTGGTCTGCTTACAGTATTCACCCTTGGAAACTCTATTGGAAGACACTCCCATTGAGGGGGATCTAGTTTGTGAAATACTATGGCCTTGTGTGAACAGTGGCATCAAGTATTGCCATGGCAACGACATAAGTGACAGTTAAATATCCTCAAATTGTTCTACAGGTCTAAAGCATTTGACAGGAATAAGTTTCAATTGTTTTATCAAGCAATGATTTTTGTAAAAGTCTTGCACCGCTTTTAGCAATATTCCAGCGATATCAAGGCAGAGGACACCAGAAATGGGCTTCACACATTGTATCCATGTGGGGAATTGAACCCGGGCCTTCGGCGTGAGGAGCGAATGCTGTAACCACTAGGCCAACCCACCACCCTTTTGTAAAAGTAATAAAGTGCAGCATAATATTATTTCAGTTTTACTCATACTTTATTTGTCCTTTTAGTTTTATATTCAACTCAAATCTTTTTTCAATGATGACCTTGAATATGCAGTTTCTAGATGACAACCTTGATAATTATCAAGTGTTTTTCAAAATTTTAGCGGTTTTATGTGTATTTATCTG